CAATTATCTTGGAAAGTAAGTTATAAACAAGTATGATAAAATAATTCATATATAATTATAAAGAAAAAATCAATATCCAAGTTGATGATAATTTTTAGATAATTTTTATCACATAAACATACTACTCATAGCATTCTGGGATTTTTAAAATGTTAAAATGTCAATTGAAGTTAATTTGGAATTCTTAAATATTGAAAATATAGCCACTAACGGCACTTTGTTCCTGCAGCTGGAGCTTAATTTAAAATGAAATAACGGCATAAATGGTGTGCTAATGAGTTTTCATCAACATTAAAAAAAGAGATGGAATTACTTAAGAACTCTTTAAAATACCTTAAATATCAAGAATTCATTTTTTCATGTTCACTTTGTCTGAATCTTCACAATACCTTAAGCTACTGCTTTCAATATCAATGAATTCAGTTTTAATATGGCCATCAATAGAAAACAAATTCAACGAAAAGACACGGTGTTGACATTTAAAAGACAAAAAAAAGGATTTGGATTTTTTGAAATACTTAAAATACTGGAATTGCATATTCTTATCTCCTTTAAACTCCTACACTGGCTTTACAACCTTATGCTTTAAAGTCGAAATTAATTCCATATTAATTAAATAAAAATTGTATAGAAATTCACGTAAATATTTTCGATAAAATTATTGAAGTGAAGAAAATTTTAGATGTGATAATAAAATGAAATAAATAGTTACTCAAGATAACGGTATGTATATGTACATAAAAGTATTTGAATATGTTAAAAGCTAAGGTTGCGAACGAGATTCTGTAGTTACTTAGCAGATGAGGAGTTAAAGATATTGCTGCTGAAGGTGAGATTAATCCAACCAAGGAGATGGACAGTGTTCTAAAGCTGACACTACTACATGCAGGTCCCATCAAGACAGTATTAACATGACCAATTGAAAGTGTCTGATAATACCAAGTGATATCGTTGTACATATTATAGCTTATTATACCTTAAGATCATTTACTTTGACTTGCGATCAATGGAAATTTTAAATTCACTATTAATTTTAAATAATAACAATATTTTCAATCAATCTATCAGGCTGTTCATTTTTATCATTCATTGTCAACTTATATCATTATTCGAACCTCTAAATCATTATGAAATTATCTTGATTGCAAAAAAGAAGTAGTTGAAAAGTAAATTTTATGGCTACTGAGTGAATAGAATTACTGATAAGGTATCTAATAAATATACTTATTAATGATCCATAACATTTTGTTTATTTCATCGACAAAACATTTGAATTATTTCAGTACTAAAAAAATGTATATAATCCTTGAAAAATACTTCTGTCACTTCAGAATTCTACTTCAAACAACTTCAATATTTTATTGCATTACCAACTTCCAATTACCATGAACATACTCCAGCTTTATATTGAAATACTTTATTTTTACCAAGTCTTGTGAAATAAATTTTCACTTTGTAGATGCTAAACATAAATTTGAAACCAATCATTTGATGAAAAATCTAAGCAAATGTATCATTGGAGGAGATAGTCTGTATATTAGTCAGACATGAGAAATTGAAAATGGCTGATAATCCAAGGTGATATCGTAAAGCTGAAGAATGGTCTTGAGTGACCCTCCATAAACGTGCAGAGCCAGAAATAGAATGAGATAATACTTAAATGCATATCCAGTGGATTCTCAATGTGGTGGCAAGAAAGATGGATGTCTTGTTGTCACCGAATCTGAATAGAGATAGATCATCTTGGATATATTGGCGAGCAAGATGGTTGATTTTTTTTTCCATCTTCTTTCTTGATCCTTGTTTATTATCATCACGTCCTTTTTATGATGATATTATTCTTCTCCTACTCCAACTTAATGCCACATTTGTGTGGGTCTCTGTCTTGTAGCTAGCGAGCTAAGACACCATGAAACGACGACTGTGTCTGTTGGAATGCCAGGAAAAAAGATGTCTTCATCGTCGGAGGGCTGCTCGCGCCATCGACGGAATGATATTAGAGTAAAAATATGCCCTTTAGATACAGATGTGACAGAGACGAATCAAGAAAAAAGACTTGTTGATTTTTAGCCAATAAAACCAGTATAAATGCAGATAGATGGTCAATTTAAACTCAAATATATATGTAAAGTGGTTGTGAAAAATGAAAATGATGTAAATCAGGTGTAGAGAAATGTTCTTTTAATACACAAGTAGCTCCAAGAAGTACGCGATCGCCCACAGTATTAGCCATGCAAGTCATGAGGGTTCGCCTACATCGCGCGTGTCAGTCCTCCCTACTCTTGATATTTATTATGCTATTTAACTACTAGTCACTACTCACCCGCCATGTCAAACACACCACGCAAAAAAGGACATCAATATAATTATAAAACTCATTTTATCTTACGTTAAGTGTATTAATTAATGGCTAACTCATAAATTTTCATGTAATTATTATAATAAAAATATTCATTAATGTCGTAGAAAAAATGTATTATTATCATCAACATGAATTAGTGCTCAAAATAATTAATATATTATTATTCTTTATTATTTTTCTTCACCTTCAATGTTAACAAACACAATTGTTAAAACTAGCTAAAGATGATGAAGAATTAAAGGTGACTGGAATAACGATGATGATGATGATTGTAAAAGAAAAATGACGGATGAATTATTTGCAAAACAAATGGCAGCTCTTTAGCCTCAAATTACCTTTCGACCTTATGTAAAAGAAGCTTTTCCGGTCTTTTATAGCATCTAGCTATGGGACATGATTCTGAAGAATTTAAATCTGACCCAGTAAGACCTCGCGTGGTTGCCGCAGGTGATGATGCCGAAGAGCGCGCGTCTCACACGAGTGCTACGTGTGTGCGATTGTCATCTGCTACTGCTGACCGGACCTGATGGCGTCATTGTACACTCATACTATATACGTATGGCCCCATAAGTGAGTGAACTAAAGCGTAATGTTTTTCTTCTATGTTCTCTGACTGTTCAGATACCGTGGGAAGATACTGGAGTTCATCATGAAACGAACAATGACATTGTTTTAATCAATATCTTTATGATAAGGAAGCATCATCATCATCATCATCATCATTAAGCTATCAATTTATTGGTCTTTATTCCATTTGGAATATTAATTTTTGTTTTGAAATGTCAGTTGTTTAGTGGAGTCATCAGCAAAAATGACTCTTTATTGATAAGTAAAATTTTAAACAAAAATAATTTCATTGGTTTTCAGGAAAACTGAAAAAACATCAAAGTTGAACAGACTTGGTTACATTTAAATGAATAACAAGAGGAATATGGGAATATATTACATAAAATAGCAGAACATCTTTGAGAATCCGGTTAAAGTTCAAAAGGGGGAAGGTGTATTCATATAACTCCTTTGGCACCTTACAGATTGGGAGGAATATCAGGTTGGCTGACAACGAAAACTTGTCTCTTTGCTGGGGGTCTCATCTCTACAGTATTTTTGTCAAGCTCTCTTATTACTCATGGGAAAGACTTTGGTGAGATTTTTCAAAGATATACAGAGATGGTTTCTATATACTGCACCCGGCCCAGTGGATTTAAAGGTCTTCAGCTCTATGCAAATGAGCTACGCTTGCAGCACTCAATAAATTGAGTAAGTCTCTCGCTCATGCGTACGATTAACCGTCAAGGCTGGAGAAAATTCGTGAGAAATTTTTGGCTGATGGCTCTAACTCCTTTATTTAGAACTCGAATAAATCCACCAAGTTTTTTCTTGAAATAAACAGAAGGTTATTATGATAGTGTGTTAGAAAAAAAAAATATTTCAATCATTCAGTTAATTTTAAATTTAATATCCTGAAAAATTAATCAGAGTTTATTTGATTCCATTAATGGTCACTCTGTTACACAAAAATACGTAGACTGCAGGAATAAGTGGTAATAAAATTGAAGTCAAAAAATCTTCATAGCCATTAAGAAACGAATTACACTTGACAAATCACCCTCATACTAAATTAAAATGTATACATATATCATAAAGACTTTTTTTCATAATGACATGAGAGACTCACAAATCTCATTCTGAACATGTCAATATGATTGTAAAAGCATCGTATAGACGCTTGAGAATTACTTCAAGTTGTGCAGAAAGGTCTCTAGGGATCTTGGAGAGTCTGTATATGTTCATCTTTACTTTTCATTCTGTCATTCGTTTTCTTAATTTATTGTCCATTTAATTCAATTAATGTATTTAATTTGACAATACTTGATATCAAATCTAAAATAATGTCTGGAAGAAGAGGGTATCCTTTTGCGGACAGATCACATCTCTTGTCCTATTCATCATCCAGGAATAAAATTCTAGATACAGAAAGGCCAGATGTTCATTGGGGGTCGAAAAGACTGAATGGTGGTAAATATTACCTACCCCTTGATCATACTCTCTGCATAATGCTCCTTTCTGTTGACCCTCTTTTCCCTTGTCTCTGAATCGTCTTACAAAGCATTCATGTTAATAAAATTTTCCATTTTATGTTTTTTTACTGTCTTTATTTCATGGTATTTTTCAACTATTCTATTGGGATGAGAATCACAATGCATATCACTAAATTACCATAATAATTGAATGTCAATGATTGCATTTTTAGAGATAACTTATCTTCAATTGTTGAATACAATAATTTTTTTTAAAAATAATATTGCTGCCAATTGAATAGATATTTTTCTTTCAACTTTTATTAAATGAATAAAACTGATAAAGCAACTTGAAAACTCCTGTCAATTTATGATGTAAATTTTTTCTTTTAATTTTCATCCATAATTTAAGAAACAAATAAATCTACTTTATAGAAACCAGCTGAATGTAAGTAATGTAGCCCCAGGGGGTTGTCTTACCCTGGTTTTCTTATAGATTTACATCAACTTAAATTATTGGTATAAGTGAATACATCAAAGATAAAAAAATAAACTCAAGTCTTAAATCAATTAATTTTATGATCTTATAATTATTGATTCTATTTCTTTTTATGTTCCAGAATCATATCAAACCATATCAACTATCATCTTACGCATTAGATCAACAAAGAAACCTAGCAGAGATTTCCAGATTAGCACCGGTATCAATTTTCAATGGTAATCAATCAGGAGATCGCCTAATTCCTTCCAGATTTAACCAGAATCTAGAAATAGCACGATTTAATCTCATAAGTGATATAAAACCGCATGATCTAAAGTTGGAGCCATATCTCAGTGTTCTTTCTCAGGTAAATGAAAAAATGAATGAAATAAATAACTATGCACATGGTCATGAACACAAAAAGAAACAGATAAATATGAAAACTGTATCTGGGTTATTAAATCAATTACCTGAAGTATATTTCAGTGTTAAAAGACTACCTTGTAACGTTGGATATTATCTGAAACAAGTAGATTAGCATACAAAATCGGTAGCGTTTATTTTATAAGGACTTTTGCAGCACCTTGATGTCATCCCGTGAATCTTCACTATGACCTTCCTCACTGCAATTTGCTCGTTCAATTCTTCTCTTTCTTTTTCTTTTTTTCCATTTTCTATTTCTTTTCTCCTCCATCTCTTCTTCCTTCTTTTGTGTTTTATTTATCTCTGCATTTATTTATTATTATTTGTTGAATATGTGCATCCAACTCGTTTTCTCCCCGTTTTCATAAACGATGGCTCCTCGAAAGCAACTCATTGATGCAACGTGCGGGGACGTCGACATGGTCGGGATTTACGAGCGTAATCTTGTAACACGTTGACCATGGTCGTGGCTCGAGTCTTAAGAGCACAGTCTCTCTCGCAAAAGCCACCACCAGACATTCAGAATGATCGTTAAGCTCTTCGAATATGCAATTTACTCTCCTGGTGTCCTCAATCCTACCCACGCAGTTTCTTCTTTTAGATGAGTTTACATTTTACATCTTGCTGATCAAGACCATCTGTATTACAGTCAATCTTTTACTTGAAAAGAAAATGTTGTGTCGCATATACTAGTACTGCATATGCGTTCATCTCATGCAGAGATATCTTTGTGTAGATAAGAATGTTGAATAGAGCTTGGAAAACGCGTCTCATGATCCAAGCTCTCGACAAGTTGGACATTGCCAAAGGAATTACTAATCATCGAGTGTTAAATTTTAATAGTAAACCTATTTTTACACTTGGCAAAACAAATGATCCTGATTTTGTTGATGATACTTGGAAAGTTAGACCAAGAAAAAAACCACTCATGGACCACTGGATCAAGTTGGTTGATATTGATGAATCTCGTTCAAGTAAGCATTAACATATCTTTTTTAATTAATTATTATTTGTTTCAAAAATATTCAAAGTATCTTCTTTAAAAACTTCTTAAAAAATTTTATTAGAAATTCTGTACATCAGAAATGATATGTAGTTATGTCGATTCTAGTAGCTTGTAGGATGAAATTACACTTACTTTTATAGGATGGTTTACATAAATGATATTCTTTTAACAAGAATTTATTTACCATAAATACATTATTTATTTAACAGAGAAAATTTCAAATATTTATGTTTCTTTATTAAAAAAAAATTATGTTAAAATATCAATAAATAAAAATTGTATTTTTCTGAATAATATTAGTTATATCAGTTCATTAACTATAAAGAAAGTCCTTTCCAAATCGACGTGTGTATAAATACTCTTGTGAAACGAGAAATATTGTTAGAGCATGTACGTCGAACAAGCAGCTTTGGAATATTGATAAAGTAAATGTATCGATTAATTATCATGTCTTTAAATTGACTATTAAAAAGTATCGGGAAATATACTTGATAGTGGGCATATCGTGGTCGACTACAAGATTAAAATACAAAGTTAATCATCGGTACATAGACACATTATTATTCATTCATAATACAAATATTAAACTTCTGTAATACTACAGTGAATAAATAATATCAAAATGATTTATAAAAAAAATTTATCTATGATCACATTTATAATTTATTAATTAACTATATTATGTTGTCTAGGGCAAGGAATGATTGATTGGAGTTCAACGAACTTGATAGCAGCAGTTATTCAGCGTGATCTTGTAATATCAACATACGCACATTTAGGAGGTAATCCTTTAATAAAGATACCAATTTGTAACTTTATTTCACCACCATTAATAAAAATCAGCTGCATTAAATGGAATCACGCTGGTGATAGAATTGCTATTTCTGCCAAACCACATGTGCTTTTTTGTTGGGATCCCAAATTCACAAAACCTTTATGGATTAAAAATTGTTTCTGTACAACAACTTGTACTATTCGATGCATAGAATGGAGTAATACAGATGTTGAAATAGTCACGTAAGTTCTGTTAATATTTTTTTTTTCAACAACTAAATCATCATATTCATGGATCCACTTCCAGAGGCTGTACACAGGGATACGTATGTGTGTTTCGTGATTTTAAACGCACGGCAGGATCACGTGTGAAGAGCTATATTAAACTGCATCATGAAACCATTCTAAACCTTATGATTTCTCCGGATGATCATTTTATAGCTACCACTGGATTGGATAGATGTGTTCGAATAACATTGTTTCCTGATATGATACCTTATCTTGAGATTGGATATTATGATCCAGCAGAGGTAATGATTATTTTAATAAGAACAAAAAATAAGGAAACAATTAAATAAAACTTCTGTAGTCCTTGGCTTGGCATCCATGGCAAAAAGGAATGCTCTGTATAGGTGGTGGTATTGGTGATGGCTCAATATCCCTCTGGGACGTCCCAAAACAGAAGTCGCTGGGCTACAGACGAGTAGACTTTGTTAGTCACGTAAAACGTGTAGTTTGGAATAAGCTCAGTGGAGAACTGGTTGTCGCATGGTATTACTGGCAGGACAATGTTCGTTATTTTACAATTCCTGTTCTAGCTAGTTGGGACCGAATTGTTGATGCTGTACCACTTGATAATAGTCATCCTATTGAACGACGTATTGGTAATGTTCTTTGGAATCCAGATCATACTGTTTTAGGTGAGATATTGATATTAAATGTCACTTGTACATTTATTCCCACAGTTGATGATAAATAAAAAAACTTTTCCAGCCATCCAGATTTCAAATTATCTTTATTTTTGGAATTTCTTTGGACACAATGCGTCATCCTGGAAAAATAGGAACAAGAATAAAGGTTCTGTTAATCAGAGAAGTGTATTCGATCTTTGTTGTATCCGATGAAATGTAAAATATTAATTTATGCAACTTTTATTATTATCCTTTTCACTTTTTAATGTATCTCATAATTTATAAATATATTATAGTTGTTTGGCATGGCTTTATGAGTTCTCATTTCTCGGTTGAGAGAACAACGTCACGATATGAGCAATAACAACTGAATCGAGTATGTAATTTAAGATGGTGCAGGTGCAACGTTAGTCTCGCTAGATAATCATTCCTTGTGATAGAGCCAACACTATCCGTTGTCTTGGCAAGGAGCAGGAGAAATGCAAGGAGGAGCATTCTAACGACCAATTGCCACGAGTTCGCTTCATTCTCAAGTTATACAGAAGAGCTATATGAATATGATGTCGGTGTAATAAAGTTAGCTGAAGAACTACTGCATGTAATCCAATACCTCACTCTACTTCTCATCAACTACATCATTACGTAAAACAAACTACCGGAATTAAAACATGACTTTTTATTCTTCCTTAAAGGTCTTCTTTTCTTGTTTACTATAAGAAATCCCTGTTTTCTCTGCACATTTAACACTAATTGGTAGAATGCTACATTCATGAATTTCTGATTCTCATAAAGTTCCTTTTAATTGTTGACTTGACAATTTTAACTGACTTGTTATTTCTGTACTGATATAAAAGAAGAGCAACTCGTTGATATCTCTGGAAAAATTTATTCAAGTATACTTATTTTATATTAACTGGAGATGAAACTAAACCTTGGAGTGTTTCAATCATAAGGTACATCCAAATGAACAGGTGTTACTCCTATAAGAAGAAAAAAAATTACCAAGTGAAATTAATCATAATATTAAATTATAGAATTTTACAGTTAGTGACATGTTTATGTTACCTCCAAGCAACGTTAATTGATCCTGAAGTCCAATAAAAGTAATCCACTATCCATATATCTTCAATGAATTCTTTTCCAAGATGTATAAAATTTATTCATATTTATTTGTAATTTACGACCATTCACTATTCAAATCAAAAATGTAGATAATTTCCAAAGTCCTCTATAATTATTTTAATATCTTAAGGGCGAAGAGCACTTAAGAATTCACTATCGTCTCACTGACAACCCTGAAACAAGTCTATTAATTCAACTCTTCTTATTCACGTCACTCCTGCCTCGACGTTCCTCATAGAAAATTGCCTGCTGTAGACATGAATATTGATTCATTGAGGACACACCTTCAAGTAGTTTATTGAAGAAATAATAAACATTGCAAAAGGAAACGTTGAAATCACAAATTCATAAGTAAGCACAGAATATTTTTAATTAGGAAATGTAATTACTTATTTCCTTTATTTGAAAATAAGTTTAATAGTAGTTTACTTACCAAATAGAAATATGCATCTATAAAATGCATGTACTCGAGCAAAACTTCTCATTAAAAAGCAATTATAGATACATTTATGTAAATATTGAATTCACTGTAAATAATTTGATCATTAAAGAGTACTTGAAGGATTAATAAAAAATTTATTTCCTTGAAACATCTATAGAGAATTTAAACTAAAAATTAGCAATGTGTTATGTTATTATTGAGTGATGAAACAATTGATGACGTTATATATTTATAAGTTATCAGCTATCAATAAAATATATTTCAAGTATCGACTCTAATAAGATTGATTAATATGTAAAGAAATACTCAATGTTATCAGCAAAGAAAACCATTAATATAATTTAAAAATGATAAACACCAACTTTATATATCGATCTGATTATCAACCAAAAATGGCTAAGGATTATCATTAGAGTAATTAAAAATGATTTAAAGGCAGCATAATTTCAACCAAGATCAATAGATAACTTTTTTGACAAAATGAAAAAAGATTTAATTAAGTTGTATGGTGACAGTTTATGGTGTTGAATTATAGGATCAATATCATAAAATAATTACTCATGTTGTCACCGGTTTATAATTCATTTATTAAATTTATTTAATATGGAAAAAAATTAAACTGCTTTATAATTAATCAAATACTGCCAGATCAATACTTTTTTATTGCTATTTAATGATCTAATGATCATGAAAGAATGTATGAATAATTATAAAAGAGTTCCAAAGTTATTTCAGGTATTTTTAATTGAAACTCATGAACTTTCTGACCTTTTTATAATGAAATTCATTAACATGTCAGTTATAATATCAGATATAGTGTATCACACTAGACATATTTAAAAACGATTCATTTTGAAATTCTAATTAAGTTGGCTTTCAAAAAACTCCTTATGGTAGTGTTTAGTGGAAATGAAACTCCACCCCTAGAACTGACTCAGTATTTTTTACTCTAAAATAGCTTTCAAGTCAAAGTCAGCTGCAAAATGGAGCATTAAAAAAATATTTCAAACAAATACATTATTCAGTTCCATAAATAATTAATAAATCCAAACTCCAAGTAGTCATCATCATCTTTTGGAGTAAAGAGTAATTGGACAAAAAAGAAAAGAGGTATTTCGTAAGAGCAATAAGTAAAAAGAGTCCGAAACATATGAGTAAGTATTATATATGTATATATATATAATATATATATATATGAGAAGTATTTGTTGGGGTAAAAAAAAGGATAAATTTTTCTGAAGCAAAGACATTCAATTTAATGAGTTTTAACAATTGTAAAAAAGTTGTGTAAGTTGTAAGATCTCGCCTCGTTAGTAAATTATCTCTCTTCTTTTTGTCTTCCTTTCTTTCCTCCTTGGTGCAATGGTGATATAACTACACAGGAGTGCATTCTTCGGTGGTAAAGAGACAGAAGTAAGACGCATAGTCGACTGGTATAATATAGTCTCTCCCTATCTAACAGCATTCATCATGGGGACAGCCTACACCACTCTTCAGCAACTGGACTCCAATGTCTTTTCATCTTTTCCTCTTATTTTTAGCCTTTTTTATCTTAATAAAGCAACTTCTCTTGCTTTCCAAGCTCTCGCTACACTTTAATATCTTGTCGTTGTATTTATATTCTTTTGTTTTCTTCTCGCGTACCCAATAATGTATTTTTGCTATGTCTGTATTTGGTTCTGCTTAACTCAAATATGGTAAAAGGTATTCAGTGCGTGTGAATACGATCTGTAGATAGATTTTAATAATAATAGAAAGCATAGCAAGTATAGTAATATAGTATCACAAGTATCCTATGTTTGTTTTTGCCGAACAATCGCCAACGCCAGAGACAAACTCTCGTTCTTGCAAGCACTCACCAAGAACTAAATATGTCCTGACGACGATCGGTTTATCGCCTGACATTTTTATGACCACGAGAACAATGCTTTGAGTAAGAACGAAAGTCAATTTGTGAATCTAGCCTTAAATGTTCCCCTTTCAAACCAGTAATTTTATTAAGAAATAAACAATATGAATGAAGTACCTTTTTTTCCCTTCTACCCAATAACTTAGCATCAAGTAAACTATAGACAAAACCGTACCATTTTATTATTAAAAAAATACCTGATAAAATCTATAGCTAAAATTATGTGCTATTACTTACTGTATTATCAATTATTATTATAGGAAATTGCTTGATAAATATTTGTTATTTCTATCAAATTGGTAGGTCTTGGTCTTGGGATGAAGAGATAAAATAAAAGGGTAATGGTTAAAATAAATTTCAGTTTGTTTACTGTTTTATTAAACCATTATTTAATTGTTATTAATGCCAATTTACTTTGTTTATTTAACAGTTTGAATAATGGAATTCAATTATTTGTTTATTTATTGATAGAAATCTCAACAACGAAATGGTTGATTTAAAAAATATGATAACGATGTTGGGGCAATTTTATCACTTCAATCTATTTATATTATTCTCATCAATAATTTAGTGCTATAAAATATAGAGAGATGCTTAAAATAAAATATCTAACGATGTTAATATTTAATCAATTTATAGATCGTACGAAAGTACTTTTTTAGATACAAATGTTGGCAGTTCCGTATAGTGGTGTATTGCTGTAAAGTATAAAAAATACTTCTATTCTGCTGTTTGGCGTGAAATACAAGCTGCGACATCACTGGTAACTCGGCGGCATGTTTACGAGAATCCACTTGAGAATTGTAGGTATTGGTGTTCTTCCCTTCTTTCTATTCCTGGTCGAGTTCACTAAGAAGTAGAATGTAAGCCCGGATGTAACACTAATATTAGGATTACTATCGGCAATTTTATAATCGGTGAAGGTTAAAGTTTACGAGTAAATCGACAGTAGAAAGCAGCGTAATCCTTTGTTGCTATAATCCATGGTCTTGGTTTCATCTTCTTACATTCATCTTTTCTTTGCTTACTTTCTTGTTTATCTCTTGCGCACACTAATAAGTAACAACGGACCACCTGGCCGAAGACAATAATTACCCAAGCCATTAACGACGTGCCAACGAGTATCCCGTCGGCGTCTTCTGTTCGTGCTTTTCCCTCGACTCATGGTCTTGTTTTACTACGCTCGTTATAAGTACGTGGCAAAGCTTCACGTCGCCAAGATGCTCAACACTGTACAGTAGAAGCATCGCTAAACCAATCGATTGCTTCAAGCATTTACGATTAATTATTTCATCTATTTTTCATCTTTTAAACCAATTAGCCTTTAAAACATTATTCAAACTCACTCGAATATTTTTTATTGTCATCCTTATTGTTATATCAATAATAATAAATGTTAATTATCACCATTTAATTCATCAAACTAATTGGATTGTTTTTTTTTTTTTAATAAATATAATTTATATTTTATCCATTATCAGGATATTCAACTTTGATACTGAGTAAGAATTTGATTAATATCCACGTTTTCTATTTTATTAATACTATTATCAAGTGCTAATAAAATGGAGTAAAAAAAGGCAAAGTGCCATGAAATTATAAAAATATCGAATAACAAAACAATTTTAATCGCTTAGTGATCTGAACACTTTTACTGCTTGAGTGGCTGCTAATCACAATCTCTTTTCGCAAATTACCTAACAACGGGGGCTGTAAGATGGATCGAAAGTTACGAGAGGTAAGAATTAGTTTCAACATACTCTTTGCACTGGATAAACTGTTCATAGACTCTTTGCAGAAGAAAAGGGAGCCCTCCACAGTTATTAAGACGTTAAACTAAAATATAGCGTCCAATGGAAATAATTGGTCTTGCAGTAAAGATGAGGCCATAATTTATTACTTGGAGCTTCGTAAGTTGCACCACTTTGTTTATTCTCTTAAATAAAGAGTTACTGTTTTTATACTGCTACATAATATAGATTTTTAAATACATAAGTAATTATTAGAATTATCATTATTAAAATGTGGCATAAAACATATAGTTCCGGTTATGTTAATTCACTTAATGATCCTAATTTAAAGTAATATATATAAGCTATTGAATTTTTTAAATAATCGTTAATATGTTACATTATCGTAACACATGAAGATATAAATTTATATGAAGTCGGCCTATAAAATATGTCTATCAAAAAATCATGTCATCGTATAAGTAAATAAAGATATCAATGAAATGAAAGCATCAATGATTAAATGCTTATTTTATATACCAATTATTCAGTACTGCTATTAAAAATATTTATTACTTTTAAGTTTATTTATATATTATTTTTTCCAACTCATACTTATATATTTTAACTGTTGACAGATTTATTAATAA